TGGTAAATTTTTGCCGAAATTCTGGCCATCGATTTAAAAAAAAGGGTTTGACATGCAGCTTTACGTGCACGTGCAATACTTGTTTTTTGATTGGTTAACAAAAAACAGACGATACCTAATTAGGAAAATTTTTGCTGCCAATATAGGTGGTTTTCATGCAATCTCGGGAGACACAAATAACATTGGTGAAATGAACAAATGCTGATGGACAAACGAAGCGAGCTAATGAGCGATCTTTTGTTTACCGTCCACCAGCATGGCGGCGATGACGTAACGTGTAAACTACCTATTGATTGGCGCTAAAAATGTGAGGCACACGCCACTTTGGCAGCGAAAACTTTGTCATACGGAGAGAAGAAAGTTTAAACGGAACGAACTGATACCGTCTTGCTTTGGTAAGCTTCTTGTTGTCTCTGTTGTATCACAGTGCTTTCAGCTTTAAGGTTTCTTATAATTATTGATGATGATTTTGAAAACCCTGGGTAAAGTTTTACTTTGAGTTGTATCAAAAGAAAAAAAAATTAACTCCTGTATTAAAAGGGAAAATCTTTACAATCATGATTTTGCCAAGCAAAAATTGGCAAGCTTCGTTTACAACGTACTCACAGGAGTAAAATATCACGACTTTGCAAGTTTTTCCTTTCCAACCAAATAAATTAACCCATTTTTCCGCCTTTTCTGAAATGGTTTTCTCCCCCAAGACCTTATTAAAGAATTTCTTTGAAATGTTAATTAACCTTACAAGTCCCAAATGGCTTGCCTAGAGGTGTGTGTAGTCAAACAATCCTTGTTGGCTTGCTACATAGACACGTGCAGTAAGAAAATCCAATCAGAAATTATTATTCAAATCAAAACGTTGCTCCGCGCCACATTCAAAAATTGGTAACTTCAGTTATGAGAGCAGGCGAAGGTTGCCATCGCAAAGGAGAAAAAAGACGGGGCAAGATTTCCGTTTAACCCCAACGTTAATTATGCATACATTCATTGTTTAAAGAAAACAAAAGACAGAACAATACTAAGCCTTTGGGATTTCATCTATTGTTTTAGAAATTCTTAATTTTTTTTCTGTCTTTTTTGAAACGCGCTAATTTTGGCGCTTTTTGCACTAAAATAAGAACTTTTTGGAACAAATTTCGGACTATTTTCGCTTTCCGAAACCTAACTTGTATAATGATTCCAAAGATAACGATAATCAATGTAATTAGTAGCGTTGAGTAAACCGTCCATCGATCGTAACACAGGGTTTAATAAACAACTAAAGTAAAATAAAAGTCTACCTTATTCGTCAGAGTTGCTTTTTTTTCCTGAACTATATTTTCGAGTTTCCACCGTCTCCTCCTACGTCTGATCTGTCTGTTTTATTTAGCCCTCTAAGCGTCGTTCCCAATGTCAATATAAAGTTCGAGTCGACGATATGCTTTACTATGTTTCCAAAGAGAAGTCCACCGTAATGCCTACGCCACATATTTAAAACTCCTGCCAGTAGTTGCTTTGAATGTTCCTGTACAGGGCAAACCATGCTTTACCCCTCTATCTATTTTCGATGCACTGCGTGTCGGCACCTGTGTCAGCTGGGTGTATTTTACGAAGCTTGGGCTGTTCCTAGCCCTCCTCTTGTAGATATTCATAAGACCCATACTCGTCGCTCATCATGTCTGTACACCTCCAAAATTTGAGCACGAATTATGACCAAGATGAGTTTCGTTATTCCTGCTCTTCTTGGACAATGTTTCGCTGATACGTGCGAAAGTTCGTGACATTCCATATGCACGTGCTCGTTGAAGCCCTTAATATTTAGTATTCATAAATCGTACCTTTCAGTAAAGCGAAATTGTAATTAATTCAAAGACATGAGTTGTAACTTGCAAGAGTAGATTCGTCGTGGAAAAGAGTGGAGAGTGGATTACAAGAGTGGATTTGAGAGGACTCAATGGATCGAACATTCGCGGCTGCAGGACACAAATGCTACCGGGTACTTATTGAGGAACATTGATCTGACATTCGTTATATTATTTTATTTATGCGTTCTCGTATTATTTGTACTTTAATTCTACTTTAGGTTTCGAAGGCGTTGTAATGCATCTTTGAGAACGGTAATGAACATAGTGGATTGCAGCTAGCGAAACAGACAACGACCGGGGTATTTTTGAAAAACGCCGAATGATCCTGAAGTTTAGTTATGAGGGTTAGGAAACTGAGTGAATCAGCTTTCATTTAAGTCCGCTCCCAAAGCTCTTGCACATTTAACAGAAGTTGAAAGGGCAGCTTATGTTTTCCTTACACCAATCTATGGACCGGTCGCGGTCATGATCCACAAGTATTCTGGAGAGCTTTTTAAAAAATTTAGTTGAGCCATACTAAACATGAAAGTTGACCAAGTCCCTGACAAGTGTAATACAAGAGAGGAGTGCTTGTGAAGCCTGTGCGTGCTTGTTATTACCTGAAGAGATGCATGTTTTCGTGGATATGTTACAAGCAAAAGCGTGAATAATTTACATGAATACACATTTCAGTTCTTTTGTTATGTATATTTGAACTTGAGCACGCAAAAAGATATCAGTTTTTTGACCAGGGAATCTCAACAAATCGTCGTGGTCTAGTGGTATGGCAGAGAGACAGGTACGCCAGAGCTACAGGGAAGCGTTGGTTCAAGTCTCGCCGACTACCGAGAAAAAAAAGGCAAAAGGAAACCGGGGGGCACTGGAGAGAGTGGTAGGTGTATGAGAGGGGAAAAAAGAGAAAGAGACGAGTAGAAAAAGATAAAAATTGAAATCCTCTTTTATTAACGCAGTAAGTATTCATTACCGATGTATATATGCAATACTCTGGGGAATTCACCATTGTCTTAGAAGACAATAAGGTGGATGCATAATTAATGACATAGAATGCATAATTAATGTCTGGGGTTATACGGAAATTATTCCACGTTTTTAGTTGGGCAATTTCAAACAACTCTTTTTGTAAACTCGGTACTTGAGTTTTCTCTTCCTCGTGTGCAACTACTATAATCAGGTTTGAATATCCCTGAATATGTTCTGTCTTACGTTGGATGAGATTGCATGCTCTTGGGCTATTACTTTCAAACAGGGTCGTGTAAAAAACGAACCGTAATTAAATGAGCGAATAGACGAAACAAGATATACATGCAACTTAGAGTTTAAAATGATTCTAAACAGTTACATACAATTAATAATTAGTAAACTTACGATTAAATAGATTGGAATCAAGAATGACTTTTAAATTGCCATAAAGTCAGATAGTTTTCATTATATTTGGCCAGATTTCGGCTGAATTGAACTGATAAAAGCCAACCAACCATTTGCAATCAGACCTTGATTCTCACCTCATATGATGTCACACGCGCGATCTCTCGCACGAATATATTGCTGCCGAGCCTGGATTGCTACCATGGTGGTAGACATTGCAATTTACGATTCTCATTACAAATGAAAAAGATTCGAAACGATCGTCAGCACAGCCCTATATTAGTTTGATGGAGTCTTTGCAATCCTTTTCAGGGTATGAGAGTTTTCAATTGCAACTGAATTTGAAAAATTAAGTATTTCCGTATTTTTTCTTCGTTTTTCTATGCGTAGCTCCCTGAAGCGTTTAGAGCCTTTTCACTACTATTTCCTCAGCTTCTCATCTTTTTAATTTTTAGCCGTCAGACCAGACCATCTTCTTCAGTCAGACCTCCAGATTAGACCATACAACCAGACCACCAGAGCAGCCCATAAGATCCGCCTCAGATCAGACCACAACAACAAACAATCGGAGGAGTCTCAGATCCGACCACAGATCAGACCATGCATCAACTCCCACACCAGACCATCGTCAGACCAGACCACCAAAATCAGCCCATCAGATAAAACCACCACCGCCACATCAGACCAGCAGATCAGATCAGCCCAACCAACAGATTACCATCCTTGACTGCTCCACTTCAAATCAGCACAGCACACCCAACCTCCTGAAATGGTACAGGTCAGGTGCATTGTTTGTGAGTTGGGTTAAGGGGGGGGTATATAGAGCTCTGGATGAACCTTGCAAAGCATACTTTCCACACACGTTCGGCCTGAGGTTTTCGGACATCTTTTTTGGCTTAACTTTACTGTAGTTAGATTAGTTAGCTGGGTTCCCCGGGATGGTAAGGGCCTACCCTGCCCCTTTTCATAAGTTGGGTTCCTTTGCAGGTTTTCGTTCAGCGACATAAGTTCGGATTGGCTTCTAGGAAACGATTCAGCCTCGTTTTTTGGGGGCTTTTCGG